ATCTGGAACTACACTCGTTGAGACAGCTTTCATTTCAGTCACGATGTTCTCCGCAGAAGAAATACTGGGAGGAATCGAGTTGACGGTTTTAAGCGAAAGTATTTCAGAGAATTGATATAAATATCACTGTAGTACCCACCGCCTAAGATACTCTCTAGTTAATAAATTCAGCCTCTTATTACGTTCAAAGTTCCTGGAACCAAAACAAATACTAATCAAAATAATAGAAAAATTGCCGTTTATTAAACTTATCTCGGTTACTTTAAGTTCAAATCGACAAAAAACTGATTCTTCTGTGCCAGAATATCTTACTTATACATATCAAAGCTTTTCGTAGTTCTTTCATTTTACGTATTGTGCACTGTGACCTTATCATTCAAATATGTAATACTTCAATAAAACGGGTTCGATTGAAAATGTTTAACCCTCCCGGTCCTTGTGAGACACGGTTTTCAAAGTTGCAGGTCTACAATGGACTTCACAGGACCAGAACTTTCTTAAGATTACAGAGTCATTAGGCTTTTCTGACGCAAAAGATGTAAAAATTGTATAATGTCCTCGCCGAGACCTCTCGAATACGCGCCGAGGAAGGCATGCTGGAAGGAGGGAGAGACTACCTTATAAGGTTAACGAAAACAAACGTCTAATAACACTGTAAATGCGTGATGGTTCTTTCTCAAATACCGGCTGATAGGAAGTGAATAGCTTCTGTATCCGATTAAGGTTTTTTTATATTCAAATTCTCCTTTTGGAGACAGATAAATTATGTTCACACAGAGTTATAAAAAAAATTCATGAAATGTTTCTAAGCTTTATCGTACACTCTTTAACGTGATGCTTGTATAATCATGAAATGGTTGATCTCCTAAACAGGCAAACACACTTTTCTGCTAGCTAGAAGTGTAAACTTTGAAATTTAAGTCAATCACCGGAAGAAGCTTTTTTTTTTTTTTTTTTTATTTTTTTTATTTTTTTTTTTTTTTTTTTTTTTTTTTTTTTAATTTTTGTGTGCTTAACTTGTAAGCTAACGAAATGCCAAGTGAAAAGATTTAAGGTTTGGGCAAAGAGGATAAACGGTTAAAATATTTTGGTCATTGCAAGAAGAGAAAAACTACTGGAAATTTCCCAAACAGCATTATGCAATTTCCTTAACCCTTTGCGGCCTAAAAATTTCCTTCTGTACGCACAGAAAAATCGAATGAAAAAGAATTTGAAGGTTACTATAGGTTACTCTGAACCTTCTTTTTTTATAGTAGATGGCAGCTCAACACAAACCAGTCCATATAGTTTAGCCATGTTCATTTTTTTAAGACTCTCAATTTTCAAAGAAATCTTCCAGATTTTTTAGAGTATAAAAGGAATTGTTTGAAAGAAAATTTCTATGCTATTTTTTGGTTGTATGCTAATCTTCTTATTCTATATTAGTTTTAAATTTTTACCTTTAAGTCTTGCCTAAAATCGAACGGCGAACCGAGGTGTTCCCAGACTGGGCTCACTGCCAGTATAGGTCACTGAGAGGCAGCTATACCTTTGTTTTTCTGCAGCTCATCGATCAGCTCATTAACACAGAAAATTGGGTCCACATCTGTGTTTCATTTCCTGTTTTACTCTTTCTTCTTTTTTGGGGGGGGAGGGGAGGTTTTGGTTATCAACTAAGAAATTGTTGGGGTGATTTTCTGAAAGTCAGGGATAATTTTATCAGTTAGCTGTTTGGTTTTTCACTAGAGCAGATCTCTTTTTCGCTTTCGTTCAAAGAAGTTTTGTTAGAGGTACGTTTAATAGTTTTGCGTTGTAGACATTTTTATTTTATAGTTTATAATTTCAAATTGTAGATATAATATTAGTTTATTTTTTCGGATTTTTAATTATTTTCCAAATGGATCGGAGAGGGCTGACCATTTCTAAAGCGCTACACGAAATGCTTTCAGATAGTGAATCTGATACGGATCCCAGCACATGTGTGAAACATGCAATATTGGATTGTGTTTTTTCAAAGGTGGTGGTCACTTTCTTCGAAAAGTACCACGATAAAAAAAGTAGACTAAAGTGTAAATATGAAATGTAAATAATGTAAATATCGGCTCTAGTGTAGAATTGGGTGCCCCTTCGATTAGCGACAATTTTTTGTAAATTTTTTTGTAAAATTTTGGCGATGAAATCTTATTTCTGGTTACCATGATACTGTAACTTTGCTTTAGCCCCCTGAATTTTTTAAAATAAAAATAGATTGATGTGCACATGGACAAATTTAAACAGTGCGCAATGCCTAATTTGTGCAATTCTGGGATGTTTTTTTTTACGTGAAAACAGATCGATGTGTACATGGACACAGAGTTATGCAATTCTTTGACTTTTTATTTTGGTTTTGTGTAGCGGCCATCTTGAAATTATGTCTTCCTGGCGCCGATCTTGGCGTCAAAACAAGAGGCACCCAATTGTAAACTTTTACCTAAATATCATATACCCAAGTTACTTTTTGTGTTCAGAATCTAGTTTTTTTAATCGTAGGCAAAATCTCTTACTCTTTTACCCTCTTCCCAGCAATGCTCGTTTCAGCACTCTTTTCGAAGCTCTATTCAATCAGTGTGCCCGAAGCGGGCACACCAACAGAATTAAAACGATAAGTGCTATTTTTAAAAAATTTAACTTGTGTACTCCTTTAGGCCTAAATAAACTGCCTACCTTCTTTTCATTGAAATTCAAACTTTAAAAGATAGCGTGCCAGAAAGAAATGCAAGAAAATACAATCAATGAAGCTATTTAAACAAAATAAACAAACGCAAATGTCTCACGGTAGAGCAAAAAAGACAGTAAACTGAGAATCGTTAAAATTGCCTTTCTAGAATGGTTTCAAGTTATAAAGCTAAACAAAATTTCCATTTCTAGGCTTTTTTCATTAATTCACTAAATGCTCAAACAGAATTTAAGTAAGAAAGCAGTAAAATCTAACACTGGCCATCTGAAATTTTATAGCGAAAAGGGAAAAGCGGGTCATAATGCAGCTGGTAACGCGATACAAAATGTTTTAATTGGGCTGGTAAAAACACACAATGCACACATCAGAATACACAGTGATATTTAAAACTGAATTAGTAGTGGTTCAAAAAAATTGAAGTAATAAGTTACAGTGTTAGTGCAATATGAGTGCAGCAGTTGAGACGACAAGACCTGTTATTGAAAAAAGCAGAAAACATCGATATTTGAAAGAAGTCAAGTATTCACTTCTACTTACCATAGCAACGAGTACTCATACTATTTCAAATTACCATAGCAACGAGTACTCATAGTATTTCAAATTACCATAGCAACGAGTACTTATAGTATTTTTACTGATTTTCTTTTGAAATGGGACAGCGAACATGAAAAATTAGCTTTACTAATTAGAAAACTGTGCAACACACGCACCTCTGATCTCTTTCTAAAAAACATTAGCGTCTCTTTATGCAATTAGAACTTCTAACATTGTCTTTAATTTTAGTGTATTATAAGAACATTCAAATATTTTTACATAAAGATGTTCATTAAATAATGAACAGAACTGAATTTTGAGAAAATGCATGCACTTCGAAGGAGATGAGTCGCAACGATGTACATAAAAATTAGCTTATAGAGCTGCTAGAGGCAATGCATTAGCAATGCAAGGGCTCTTAAAATCACTTAAAACTGATTTCTAAACTGTTGATTTTATGCAGAAGAAACTTCAGAGGACTCGCAAACTGCTAATGTTTCAAGCATCAGTAAAGGAAGTTACGACGATTCATTTTTAGAATACCTTGCGTCAATTTACCACACTATTGAAATAACCTGTACAAAAATTGCCTTTGAAAGTGTCAAAAAAACTTCAGAAATTGACAGCGAAAGAAATACAGGAAAAAGTGATGACATGTCACCATCAATCGAATTTAGAAAGCACTGCAAAAAAGAAAAATTCTTGAACTGAAAGGTGCTGATCAAAAAAGGATGTCAGCAGTTTCACAAAACTGTGAATACAACTGAAAAACTGTCGTTGAACAAGATGAAACAAAGATAGAGATAATAGTTACTAGTAAGACATAAAATTTCATTAAGAACGTAATTATAAATATATTTTCATAAAAATCTTTAATAACGCATTTATAGTTTAATTTTAATTTATTATTTTTGGATAATTTAATGAATTATTTTACTTTAAAAATGTAAAGCTTGTTACGGTTTGTAATATACAAATCGCCCAGCCGCTTAATAAACTCAAAAATTCATTAAAATAAAATAAAAGCAAACGGGCAGGATCGCCCACTTATTTGTTTGGCGCTTTTTACAAGAGTAAGAAGAACTGGATTTTTGTCAAATTTCTTTGACTTTTTAAAAGAAAATAGGTCGATGTGTACATGGATAAAGTCAAGAGTGTGCGCAATGCCATTTTTGTGCAATTCTATGATGTTTTTTTAAGTGAAAATAGGTCGACGTGTACATGGATACCGCGTATGTGCAATTCTTAAAAACGCGCCAAGCAGTGGGCGATTCTGCACTTTCCACCCAAAATACGTTCCTCAATAGCAATATGAAAAGACTGATTAAATAGTTACAAATATTTACAAAACAGCAATATAATGAAGGACAAAACAATTCAAAATATTAATAAATCACCAATACAAGGATGGATGAAACAGTAAAAAATATTCATAAACCACCAAACCACATACTCAGATATATTTCATCTCTATATTGATCAAAACCTTATAAATTATATCTGACTTTTCTCAGCGGTCATTTCTTATCTTATTTTGATTATAAATTCATTACTATAGGTTATGTGCAATATGGAGGTACAGTATAAATTTATTATAATTTATTATGGCAGAACACAAAAGCACTTACATTTCAGCTGGTCTGCTACGCGAGTTTTTATTTATAGGCAATCAAGAATAAATCAGTTTTAAAAACAGATCCTATAAAAAGATAGTGAAATGGAATAAAGATGAAAACTTGCTGAACATGTCCAGAGTCTCGAAATGCTAATACTTTCATCAATATACATTATGGCAACTAAATTATTATTTTTCGTTCAAGTGAAAAATCTAAAAATTATTCTGTAAAGCAGAAATATAGTAAAGGTTACTTATGATTTTTAGAACGCATTTTGATTATAGAACACAGAATCTCTCTTTCCAAATTCTGATTTTCCTCCGAAATAACAGTCCATGCTTCGGTAGATTCTATGTCTTCAAACTCAGAATTAACGAAAATCAGAGCTTTTTCCAACATTTTCTGATTTTCATGCTTTTTGGCTAAACTTAATGTCTTAGTAACTATTGAAGCAGATAACGACGAATTAATAAACTCCCGACAGATATCTTTAAGTTCCAATACGGAATACTTAACACTTGCATAATACAGATCACAAGCCACTGAATAGGAAGACAGGTTTATCCAGCCGCTACACAGAAACTGCAGCAGCTTCTCTAAAACACAGGGTTCGACATCTGTAATGAGAATTCGATTCTCTGCAGTGCTTTCATTGGTAACGTTTCGAAACATATGTGCAAACACTGGAGATCTGGCAGAAAGAACACATTTGTGGACAGGAATTTCCAAATCTTCGCAGACTATGATCAGATCGGATTGCTCGGGTTTTCTATACATTGCATGCATGTCCTGAAATACTTTACAGAATGTTGTTAATGTCTGCACTTTTTCTTCTGTTTCGGGTAGCTTTGTAATCCACATGTCTCACATTAGGGTTAGATCGTTTGATGGTAAATTCCTTCTATTATGATTGAAAATATTTACGAATTTAGTATCATCATGCATAACACAATGTGAATCGTGTCTTCTAACGTTATTGGAATACAAATAACTCAGCGTTCCATTTATTTGAAGTTTCTCGCCAGTTGTTTCCCTGTAGAGTTACAAAGTAGTAAAAAAGTCTTTGTTAACAGCGAATTTAAAGTACCATTTTGTAGGATTTTCATCAGCACCATAAACAGGACTTCGTAATTCTGCAATACAACCCGATTTTACGGAATACGCGCATTGGTAAAGGTTTATCATCCATTTAAAATATATATATTCACACGCCATATACACCTAATGTTTATATAGTTCAACGATTATAAATTCACACGTATATAAGTAATCGCACTCGAACAACTGAGACTAAAGAAGTCTGCACAGTCTCACGGGATTAAAAACATTCACCGGCTTTTTTTTTTCCTTAAATCAAGATTTATGATAAACATGTGTCCAGAAAGTTTATTAATGCTATTTTTCTAACTGTCATTTTGCCAATCATTTATTTGATTAACTTCTCCGCATCTAATCCATTCTCCAGATTTTAAAACTAACTTTATTACTACGAAAGCCTAATTGGGGTGAACAAAAGTATGCAAGTAAATGCTTCTTCAAGTCCGTAAACTTGCAAATAACAGATCTCAAATCCAAAATTTTCATTATTAAGATTAAGGTGACATTTTTCAAAATTCTCTCTAGACACTAATCTAGTCCGTTCTTCTCAGTACAAATTTAGAGAGGCACAGTGCCAGGTTAAGTAATAGTCAAATATGGAAAATGTCCAAAAACCACAGTTCAGAGGGATCCGACTTCAGAAAAATTAAAAATAAATGATCAAAAAATTGAATAATAATAAACTTTAAAAATAATAATGCGTTTTCAGACATTTATATGATATAGGCTACTTATATTATTATTTTTAAATAACACAAATAATTGCAATCATCATCATAATAATAACTGAATAATATACAGTGCTACATAAAATCAGGAATCAATAAAATGTTATATATTGCACCACTATAATCCTCCGAGTTACATAAGTAATGCGTAGGTACTTTATCCATGTAACTTGAATTTCATGTAAGGCAAATTTATAACTTGCTTAAGTATAACGACAGAAGTAACTGAAATAGTTATGATTATCCATATAAATATGCACATATATACTATTTATACAGTGTTATGTTATAAAGAAACATTATTCAGCAATATTTATTCAGATATAAACTATAAAAATATGAAAAATATATAAATCGTATAAAAAATTAAATAATACATTTTAATTAAAAAAGAAAGAGGTCTTAGTAACAGCTAATTTTGCTTAGTAGTGGCAGAGTGGACTCTAGAGCTAGATGACTGTAAAGAGAAAAAATGTTTCTTCCCTAGCAACCTGAGCTATTTGAGTTATAACCGTAACAATAGTGTAATCGTCATATCATAAGCTAGAGTAGACTGTTTAGTCATAGGCGTACTTACAGCATCAGTACCTGCACTTGCTTCGTCACCCGTGACTTACTTGCTCTGTAGAAATGCATACTTCTTGAAACATTGTCTTTACGAACATTGTCTTGATGCAGGACTTCTCATTTCGCACCTTCTTGCTTTTCGGCGAAGCTAAGCCCCGCCAATCCACGCTCTGACGCTTGCCTTTGGGGTTGTGCCTCAGGCCCCGTGACGATGGTTTCTAGAATTCGTTCCTCCATGTCGATGATGTCTCCACAGGCGTCAAACCGAAACTGAATTTGTTCCAGCGTCAAAGTATGGGGCGCGAGTCGGGAGGAAAGCCGGCGTTTACCCAAATTGTGGATCACTATGAGATGGGCCGTCTCTCGACCAATGCCTACTTTTTCCGATATCATTCACACGGCCAGGGGCGAAAAATTCCTTTATTTTCTGTACTTTGTCTGGGGTGCGGGCAGATGCAAGCCGACCACTTCGAAGGGAGTCTTCAGTGGTGTTCCGCCCTACTCGAAAGCATTTAAACCATTCATACACGCATTTTAAGATGACAGCACATTGTTCGTAAATTGCTGACACCATTTCATGAGTCACTTTCGCTGATTTTCCATATTTGAAGCAGAACAACATATTCGTTCGCTGATCCATTTTGAGTTTCGACAGCACACGCGATACCTTCAGTGAATACACAATACACACACAACATTACACAATACAATACACACACAACATTACACAATACAATGAGAGGCGCACCAGCGGCCGAGCGGTAAAGTCGATAAACACTGGTAGTTCGGTCCGAGGCTCGAATCCCGCGAACGAGCTGTCTGCATGGGCGTTTTCGTGTTTTTTCCCGTGTGTAACGTGTATACGAGCCAGTTTCCCTTAGAAAGTTCTTCACGCGGGCAACCCTTCCCGTAGGCAGATAGCCCTCGAGGATTTGTCGTAATCAGATAATCATAATCACTCTACAATGAGCTGTTTCCACACGATAAACACACTCGCGCCACGGCTCGGGAACTAGTTCAGACCCTCTCGACCTGTCCGATGCGGGATGGGTCGGTTGCACACTCTTACGACCGTGAACTCTATGATGTCATTCACCGAACTTTTTGAACAGAGGTTGTACAAGTGACAGACTCGTTTGCGCTGCAAACGTTAAATGGATTTGTGTTTATTCGGAGCATTTAAGTTAATTTTTAATAATAGTGATTGTAAATTTATAATTTTTGTATACTTTCAATGTTTAATTTAGTTACGTTATAAGTGTTTTATTTAGTTTTTTTTTAAATGTATTTATACATTTATACATATGTTTATGTTATGGTATTGTACACCTTGTATATACAACTTACTGTCATACATATAGTATTGGACATTACTTCTGCAAACACAAAAAATTATAGTATATAAGCAAAACATCTGCCACCTCCATACTTTTGTATGAATTTGATGTTAATATACTCCCTACGGAGCGTCCTTCGGAACTGTACGGGAGGCGTTAGCATCTCCAGATAGTGGACGGTGGGGAATAAATACTTGCTTACCACTATTCAGGTTTCCCCGGCTTCCGTCATCTGTCCCCAATCCGGATTTTCTGAAATCAGCAACGACAATTATCACGAGCTACATGCTTTGCACCATGCTTTGGCCAGTTATGGAGATACTATTTCCTTTACAGAACTCGTCCGATAAATAACATCTGAAGTGATCCTCATAGTTTGCCATTTTTAAAGCATTAAACGCATTGAGTTACTCAAATTTTTGCTTTCATTTGCTCTATTGCTTCACTTTTCCTTGGTAAAAGATTTCAGCCGTTTACCATCATATGTGATTCAAGTCATCGGATCACAGTTTGCATCTATAGAACGGATAGAAACTTTGCAGACAATTAAATAAAACAAAATAATCATTTAATATGCTATGCAGATGTCAAATAGCGAATGGAGCGCTGTTGATAAATACTACTATATTTTCTACTGCTCATGAAAGTTAAAAAGAAATTAAAGAAGAGTTGCATAAAAGCATTTTACAGTAAAATGCAAATGTTACATCGGCCTTCAGACACGAAGACGTCGTAAATTTACTGCATCCCATTAAGTACAGCAAAGGATAAACCTCTATAGAGTGTTTATAAATGGATGGTGTGGTTTTAAAAGTTATGAATCGATGTACTTCATATGAGCAAAACTTACAGCATAAGCGGCGGCAACTGTTCGTTTTTGATGCACTAATTGTTAAAAATTATACAATGAATTAATATCGTTATTTAAACTTAACTACTACTTCACCTATTACTTTCAATTTATGTTTTCGTTATTAATTTTCTTGTCGTTAAAATGGCAACGATTATTATTGTTATTAAGAAAAATATGCTTTTTACTTCCTTAGCAGAGTTGTATTTGCTTGTAACAAATTTCCCGCACACCTTTCCTCATCTTTTGTATGCGCGGCCATAGAAAGTGGCACTAATGTTGAAAGCAGTGAAATTAGACGGAAAGATGCCTCCCAGACGGTATAGTGATTAAGCAGAATGACTGCGATACCAAAGGGCCCGGGTTCGAATCCCGAAGAAGGCATGAATGCAAAGTTTTCTGTCCCTTTATAGGAGGTAGTGATGGTTTCCTATTAGGTGCCTCCACGATAAAATTGCCACCATTCCTGGCCTTAGTAGTGGCCTGTGCCGTTCAAGTGCCCGCCATTTGGGGGAAAAAAGATGGAAAGATTCTCTCTTTCATGTGTGCGCTCGGGTTTGAAAGGGTAAAGGCTGCATATTTCAAAAAATGCTCCAAAAGAGGTACAAAATTTCAGCACTCACGCCAAGAAACATACAAAAATTTGCACTTTGTTTCTTCCTTAAGTTCAACTCTTATTTATCCTTTAATGTCAAGTATGAAAAAAAGATATAGTAAGTACTTTCACTCTCTTTTCCCTCCCCAGTCACAAACAGAAAGCAGGGACATGGAAAAATACGAAACGTCTGTCAAGTAAAACTGACATGAGAAGAGAAGAGGCCTGTAATGTAAAATGAGTATGAGAAGAGGTGGTGTTCTGGAGGATCTCAAGAATACTGTCTCTTCTCATACCCATTAATACAAGCACATCACAGTGGTAGACCAACTACACTCGAACTCGAGTTTTAAAGATATGTAATAAGTAATCTAAAATTTCATCACAAAATCAATAAATAATATTCTAAAATATATTTTGGAAAAAGAGAAAAATACTACCCAACATTCAAAATGCAACCACAAAAAGGAGTGGCCCGAAAATAATGAACATTTCAGGGTAGACGACTCAGTTATGCGAATGATTTGAAATGCGCAGCTCTCCAGCGCACGTTGAAGAAGGTATAACGCAAGGAACCTGCAAGAATGTTCAGGTGCCGTTATTTCTGCTAAGGAAATCCTCGTAGAAGGTTTTTTGATTATATCAGAAAACGCGCGTAATAGCAAAGAATGCCAGGCCCTCGTCACCTGAGGCAGTTCCAGCAGATAGACGACTTGACGAAGGGTATGGTAATCGGACTTGGAAGGGCAGGTTGGTCCATACAGTAAATCTCAGCGGGCACTTCCAGCAGGATAACTCGGCCACACACTTCTCGCATCAGCCAATGTACTCTGCAGATGGTTGATGCGAGTACAGATGCTTCCCTGGCCGTGAACAGATGTTTCCCTGGGCACTCTTCTCTCTTGATCTCTCCCCAATCGAAC